GCCAAGTGCAGTCCAGGTGCTGTACTTAGCCATGGCAACCCCGTCCGCTGTCTCAGCATGTCCAAATGTACCTAGCTCTACACCCACCTCTTCTAAGCACCTTCCGATGGTCTCCAGCTGGAGGGGACAACTTCCTCTTTGGATTCTCAGAAGATCTTTCCTCTAAGGGTTGTATTGCCTCAACTCTGCTTAGTCATGTGTTCTGTGTATTAGAAAAGATTCTTTTGGCTAGAGAATCAATAGAAGTTACCTTTTGCACTCATCTCCCTAGTGTCCAGATGATCCTGGAGTTTCTTGTGGAGCAGCTACAGCTGCCATCATTAACATGACCCACGTTCAACAACTCCAGTTTCTGTGTCTCTTGGGTCTAAGTTTCACAATTTGGGGAGAAGCAATTGCATTAGGCCAGCCTAGTTCAGAAGTCTGTCCTTAAATCTACAACCAATTATTGCTAAAGGTGCTTTCACATAGGCCAGATCTGGCCACTGGGAGATCACCCTCTATTTAGGAAGAAGAGCCTTTTCCAAAGGGTAGGGAAAAGTGGAAGCCTGAGAACCATCAAAAAGGTGACTTATGTAACTTGTCTTTGTAATTGACAGAAGAGGGAGGAAGGGATGCTGATAAGATAAAGTGACAGATGTCAACTAGAGAGTGTTTATGGAGTGAATGAGTCAATGGGTGACTTGTTCATTTGTGTCTCTTAAAGAAGTCCCTATCATTTTGCCTTCCTAGTTGTGCCTCTTTAGAACACGATGATCATGTGTTTCTCCATTCTTTACATCCCCTTTCATCTTATCAGTCTTGGGTCATTCTCTGGGCAGCTTGAGTGGTGGAGGCATGTCAAGTCTTCTGCATGGGTATAGAGGGATGGCTCCACAGACCTGACTTGTTCACGGGCATACATTAACTGAGGAACATATACATTGGGCACTGGAAAGAAGCCAGATACAAGAGCTCATTTGTCACAGAACCCAAAGAGTTCCAACAAACACAGCAATTACCATGGAATGTTAATAGTGCTCTGATGGAGGATGCAGGGACTATGGGGAAACACAGCTGAGGCTTTTCAGAGGAGGTAACTTTAGAGCTAGGTTTTGCAAATGAATAGGAGCTTGCTGAGTAGAGAAGGAAAGGGGATTTCAGTCCAGGGAAGAGTTTTAAGTTCAAGGCCACAGGGGGTTGCAAAAGAGAGTGGATTGTCTGGGAAGTAGGGTGATTGAATGAACCTGGGGTGGAGACAGTATGCTTATGGCAGGGGCGCTAAGAGTTGAGGAAGATGAAAAAGGGAAAAGTGTGGGAAGAGATACTGGGACCAGACTTGAACTTCTCAGGGGTTTGACTTAGCCAGAGGGCAATGGTTTAGGGGTAGGGCATTGAAGGATTTAAGCAGGGAGTAACACAAGGCAATGTCTCTGTAGAAACCCCTAATATGTTATTGAGGAAATGTAAAGCACTGATGTTTTTGGAAGTCAAAGTGGCAACATCTGTTGAATTATAAGCCTGTTCTTATCTATGACATAGAATTAAGATAGTGATATGTAAGGGCAAATATATAAAGGTGTTTATTATCACAATGTTTATGGTGGTCAAGAACTGGAAACAAAATGAGTTTTTATCAATGGGAAACTGATCAAATACTTTGCCATATAGTCACAACATGGAATAATTTTCAGACGTCCTAAAGTATGTTTTAAGGCTCCACTGGATGACTTGGAGGGATCTCCATGTTCAGAAAATAAAAAATGCATCAAGATGTGTATATATTATAGTCACATGTGGAAAACAAGAGATGGGTCTGAAAACCCTCTCTCTCTCTCTCTCTCTCTCTCTCTCTATATATATATATATATATATATATATATATATATATATATATATATATGTTTATAGTTATTGGGAAAGTCATGATGTATTTTTGCATAGAAAAAATATATATACACTTATAAATAAGTGTATAGGAACCTAGAAGTGTGGAGAAAAATATGAAATGAAACCACCAGGTTACCATGAGTTGGCAGGTGAGGGGTGTGAGGGTGGAGCATGGATAGAAGAGATGCATAAGACTAGAAATTGCCCAAAAAGAGCACACGTAATATGATCCCACTTACGTAAAGTTAAATAGTGTTCATAAACATGGAATGGGTAGCAGAGTCCTGTGATTTTATTCAGGTGATTCTCGTTTGTCTGTCTGTGTATCTATCTGTCTATCCATACACAGCCTACACACATATATGCACATACATGTATATATGTCTATGCTCACGTTCTTTTTTTAAAAAAATATTTATTTATTTATTTTGGAGAGGTTTTTGCTATAGGTTTTTGGAGAGGTGTGTGCTTGCTAGAAAAGACAGAGAGAGAGACAGAGAGATAGAAAGTGAGAAATCACCCCCCAGGGGGGATGGCCACACTGCAATCCCTCCTCCTCCATTCTCCTCTTGGGATCTTGGGCATGCATTCATGTACATGCGCCTGGCATGAGTTTAAGCCACGAGGTCCAGGACTCGAACTGCGGTCAACTACAAGGGAGTCTAGCGACATAGCCATTACACCATCTACTGGTTCCTATTTATTTATTATTATTCTCGCACAACTATATTTATTGTGGCATTATGCTCACATTCTTTACAAAATATAATTACTATCTTTATGAAGGGAAGAAAGAAAAGTCATTGGTGAGTTTTTGTTTTCAACAATTTAAAAGCAATTTCTGGCTCAGCTGCGGAGGTGCAGGTGCTTGGGCACCACAGTTTGATACTGGAGCCACTGGGGAAGGTCTTGGGTTCAGCTGCCTAGTCGACCTGAGCACACCTGCATGCCTCTGAGTACTCCTGTGGTGCTGGCTGGCTGGAAGGCTGGAGGGGGAGTGTGGATCGTGACATGGCAAGACCCCAGTGGGGGTCCCTGTCTCCCTTCCATGAAATAAACTTTAAAAGTTAATAAAAGGCAGTTTCCTATAAGAAACCACATGTGCAATTTTCATGGTTAACTATTAAAAGCCTTGTGGTTAAAACTTAAACTTAAAAGTCTTATAGTCAGTTATGTTTTCCAGAAATGCTCCTTTTCATTTAATAACTAAATATGAAGACATGCTCTTAGCCTTGATAATGGGAGCATGCCTTCATAATTTCAACCCTACTGATATCTTTGCCCACCTGCCTGGCCTCATGGGCCCAGTATTTGCTGTACTGATTTAGAATAAAGCCAAGTCCTCACCTCGTCATGCACAGTCCATGCAGGACCTGCCTCCTCCCTCCCCGACTTTGCTCTCACCTCCTACCCCATCTCAGCCAGCTCTTGTCCAGCTACGCTGGCTCCTTGCTATTCCTCGTACATCTTGACAACACTTTTGCTCCGAGCTTTTGTGTTTGTTCTCTGTCCCTGGAACAGTTTGCCCCCAGATACCCTCGCAGCTCCCTCTTCACACCCTTTAAGTCTTTGCCCCAATAGTCCTTTCTCAATAAGCCTTCCCTGAAACCTACTATTGGAAAATGCAGTGCCTGCTTCTCCTGCCACCAGCCCTCTCGGACCTTTCTTGTTCTCTCTTCCTTCATTGCACTTTCTATTATATACATATCCTATGCATTGCCTATTTATTTTGAAAATTGTCCTTTCACTTGAGCATGACCATTGCAAGGAAAATTAATATTTGCGATTATAGCCCAGGTCCTAGAATGATACTTGGAATATGTAGGTACCGAGCACACAGTTATAGAATGAGTGATTAACTTGGTGGCAGGTGGAGATTGGCTTGAGGCAGGTGATATTAGCCACAGAAAGATCAATCAGTGGGGTCAGCAGGTGGCGTGGGGGTTCAGGCACTGGACTCCCACAGGGCTGACCACAGTTGGAGTCCCGGACCTGGTGGCTTACTTTCTTTCTCTTTCTCTGTGTCCGACTCTCTCTAATGAGTGCATGAGCCCTATAGCAAATGAAATAATAATAACAATTAATAAAATTAAATAAATAATTCTTAAAAAAGTTATTGATCAGGCAACTGTATCAAGCTGAAGAGAAAGGGACTTGAGCTCCATGTTAATCACTAACTGCATGTCTTCTTCTGTTGTGAAATGGTGGTAAAATCTCTTACTTTGAGTTCCTTATTAGTTTGTCTTGACTCTTTAGGCAGATCAAAGGGAGTGTGGAGACTTGACATCTTCTCCAGTGGCCGGCTCTTATTAACTGTGAGACACTCAGCCAATGCTCATTGCCTCACTAATGATCTACTATTACCGACTTGTATTTGACTAAGTGAATTTTAGAGTGAATTTTATTTGATTAAGATTTTAGGGGATAATGTATGTTCTCATAGTGTTGTACTAAATAAAGTTAATTTTGTTTCATTATGAAAGTCATGTATTTGCTCACTATAGAGAATTTGGAAATTAGAGGGAGGCTGAAAAAAAGTCTTTAGTTTTCCCATGCCTTTAATATTTTAATATCTCTGCATTTTTTCCCTAGACAGATTTTTAGATTATGTGTTTATACTTACACGTTTGTGTACTACTTTCTCCGCTTTATTAGCACACACATTTTTCTTTGCTACAAACTTTTGGACAGTATTATTTTAAGTAAATGCACACTCTATAATCATGTGGCTGTAACTATAGCTCACTTAATACTAGGTTGTTGGACAAGTCATGACATATTTTTCTGTTTTTCTATGCAAACATGCGTCATGACTTTCCTGAAGATCTGATGTAACAGTTATTTGATATCAGGCTTTTTCCATTTCCCTCTCGTAAGGAATAGTGTAGGTATCGTCTGCTACCCTGCTAGGCATCACTAGCGGTCATTCATTAGTCTGGTCATCTGCCCTCAGAACTGTGCCTCAGTCATTATTTGTGAGTCAGAGATCATGACAACTGGGAGGATTAAGGTTCAGGAATGGAAGACACTGCGCTAAGCGAGTCCTAGGTGCTTAGCAGACATCAGATGGCCTGGGAGGGAAGCCTTTGGAAGTGGTGGAGTGCTATTAATGATCAAATTCCTGATTGCAGGCTGAACCTAATGCAGGTGGACTCTGTTCAGCGCTGGATGGAGGACCTGAAGCTCATGACCGAGTGCGAGTGTATGTGCGTCCTGCAGGCAAAGCCCATCAGCCTAGAGGAGGATGCTCAGGGTGACCTCATCTTGGCCGGCGGCCCAGGCTCTGGAGACCCCTTGCAGCTGCTGCTTAAGCGCGGCTGGGTCATCAGCACCGAGCTGCGCAGGATCGGGCAGAAGCTGGCCCAGGACCGCTGGGCGCGCGTGCACAGCATGAGCGTGCGTCTGACCTGCCACGCCCGCTCCATGGTCAGCGAGTACAGCGCGATCAGCAGGAGCTCTTCGCAGGAAATGGGCCAGGTCAGCTCTCCTGGGGTGGGTGTGATGGGCGCTGGGGTGGAGATGCCTTTGAGAGGAGTGCATCTGAATTGTGTGCCTCAAATC